GATCCCATTGCTGGAGAGGGCAAAACCCTGGAGAATCAGATATGCTGCCTTTCCTTTCTGTTGCTGGGCATATGCTTCCCCAGTCTTGTGTGCAAGGGTGCCTGGGCCTGGCCTCTGAGGTGGTCAAGCAGCCCACTCTCCCACACACTTGGCTTGCTGCATTCACGAGGATATTACGGCTAACCAGGCCATGAAGAGCTTCTCCCTGACAGAGCAGCCTAATGACCAAGAGACACACAAGCCAAAGGAGGTACAAACTCTACTGTTGGCCGCAGACTGGCTCGCCTTGAACTCCAACCCCACCTGCTCCAGGAACAAGGGCTCCTTGTGGCTTCCAATCTGAGGAAGTCCACAGGCTTCCTTGGGCTTCAGGGTGCCAGGGACACAGTTACCTACCTTGCAGCGCTGTGTCTACTGTGAGAAACGTACGGGGGAGCAGGCTGCCTTCACTTACAACCTCTGCAACTAGGGTGACCAGATGTCCTAATCGTATAGGAACAGTCCTGGAATTCAGGGCTTTGTCTTACACAGGTGCCTATATTACCCCTCACTCCTTGTCCTTTTGGGCGTTTTTGTTTTTTCATGCTTGCCATCTGGTCACCTAATGTGCAGCCCTTCCGGGGGCAGTCAGTTGACGGTGGTAGTTTTGTACGTAAACAAGGGCAGATTTTGCTTCCAGGTCTAGTTCAGACCGGTCAGCGTGTTTATCTGAATTAGGGATGTGAATGGTTAACTGGTGAGCCTCACCCTTCACGAGTGATGCTTACCGATTCCAGTTCACTGGTGGGGGTTGGAGCAGCTCCCTGCCCACCGCGGGCAGGGGCTACTTCATCCCAGCTATGGTGGGCGGGGAGGGGGGGCCCACTTTAATCGGTTAAACATTATATTTAACCGATTAATCAATTGAATGAGATTTTACATCCCTAATGTGAACATAACGCTGATTCATAAGAACATCAGAACGGCCAGGCTGGGTCAGACCAAAGTTCCATCTAGCCCAGTGTCCTGTCTGCCAACAGTGGCCAATACCAGATACCCCAGAGGGAGGGAACACAACAGGGAATCCTGATCCCCTGTCATCCACTTCCAGAGTAACAGCGGCTAGGGACGCCACTCCTACCCATCCTGGCTAATAGCCATTGGTGGACCTAATGTGGAAGACATCCCCTTTAAAGACAAGCAAAGCCTGCAAGGCTTACCAGTTAACCATTCACATCCCTAATTCAGAAAAACACATTGGACGGTCTGAAGCAAAATCTGCCCTTGTTTACATGCAAAACTACCATAGTCAACTAACTGCTCCATGAATCTATCTAGCTCTTTTTTTAACCCTGTTAGAGTTCTAGACTTCGCCACATCCTCTGGCAAGAAGTTCCACAGGTTGACTGTGCGCTGAGTGAAAAAGAACTTCCTTTTGTTTGTTTTAAACCTGCTGCCTATTAATTTCATTTGGTGACCCCTAGGTCTTACAATATATTCTTCTATTCAACACCTATTTCGTCCGCTACTCTCCCACTCAACTTCTCCCAAAACATTTGAGTGCTCAGATAACTGCAGGCCCATTTCAGGCCTGCATCTGAATTAATTTCCTGGACAGCCAATGTTTCCTGTTCAGTTAGCATATCACTGAGCTACATAAAATGGAAGTGAGGAAGTCTCAGAAAAGTGGCTGGCTGCCCTCTATTCAACAGGAACTGTCCCTTTTTAGCAAGTCTGTGTTATAGGCCAAACTTCTGCCTTCAGTGACAGCCAAGAATAGTTTAGACGCCTGTAAGTTAGATACCTAAACTGAAGAAAAAACTACTCGACACAGCAGACGGGCAAATGACAATATTCTCCCATCCGGGGGAGTAATTACTGCAGAAGTAATCCCATTCCATGTGTAGTGCCATTGAAGTCAATGAAACTACCACCAAGCTTGAAGTTAGACACATGATTAAGAACCTTGCTGCCTTGAGGCCTGAAAGCGCAAGCTAGCATGCTCATCTACAGAGTTTACACAAGTCTTTGCATGAGCACACCGCTCGCCACAGTTATTCGGAAGAACCACCAGATGGCGCTGCAGCGCCACCAATCTGATTTGTAGCCTGGAGCAGAGTTTGTGGTATTGCACTATGATTGCCTTGCAGGCTTTGCTTCTCTTGAAAGGGGATGTCTTCCAGCGGCTTCCCCCCATAAGCCAGCTCTGTAAAAGGCGCTGGGATGCCCTCATGTGCACAAGGAAACACAGAGACCGTGGCCCGGGATCCCACGTAAAACACACGTGGGCGTAGTCTTCAGAACTCGCCTCCCTTTTGAAAGGGAGCTGGACAAGCGTTTCGTTTGCCAAGACCTCCGTTCAGCTGCGACTCCTGCAAGTGGGGGAGCAGAGCAGATTAATTCAAACCCCCTAAACCATCCGCTGTCCTAAGAGAAAGCCAGAGCTCTGAACTCAAGCCTTTGGAAGCCAGTCTCCACTGGAAAACGTTTAGGGTGCGTCTACACAGCAGGGCTTAACTCGAAATGAGTATGCAAATTGAGCTACGTCAATTGCGTTTGTTATTTCGAAATAGGGAGCGGCTACACAGCACTTATTTTGAAATAGAGCGCTCTTCCTCCGACTTCCCTTATTCCTCGTACAATGAGGGTTACAGGAGTTACAGTAAAAAGTCCTCCAGCTTGACAGTATTTTGACACTATTTCGAAATTACAACCTGCAGTGTAGATACAGACGAAGTTATTTCGGAATAGCGCTAGTTTTTTCGAAATAGTGTTGCAGTGTAGACATGCCCTTACTAGCCACACAGCTATACCGGCACATGCTCCTAGTGTTGACAAACTGGCAGACACTGGTACAGCTTATACCAGTTCCCTGAATGAAGAGAGCGGTACTCACAAAAGTGCTCTTTATATAAAAATCTCCCTAAAACACCCTCACACACTCAATCTGTATTATCCGGTCACAAGTTTCTAGTCCAAGTTTACAGTGAGGAATTGATTGTCAGTTTCATAAGAACAATATGTGCAAAAACTGGAACCTTTTACTAACTTCCAGTGTTCCCTGTAAGCTGAGTGCTTGGGCGGCTACCCAGGAGAGATTCGGGTGCTGCCCAGATGATGAGCAGAGCGCCCACACCCAGCATCCTGTGTTTCTATGGGTGGTGCACCTCCACACATGCCTCAGCGCGCATGACAAAATTTATTCTGCACGTGAATGGAAATCATTAGAGGGAACATTGATCCCGCCGCATGCCATCCTTCCCCCACACTGTAGGGCATCATCAGTCAGCAAGCTCTGTGTGAACCATGTAGAGGGAAAATTTAATTCTCCTCTTGGGGAAGAGGCATAATACAGGATCAGATTCATCCAGGCTCATGCACCTTCTTGTGCCAGTAAGGCCTACTGCTTCCTGGTGGGAGCCCGCTGGTTCCTGGTAGGACTGGGGAGCCAATAGAGTTGGCCACGGAGCTGGAGAAATGCACCGATTCTGTTCTGCTCAGAGTCTTAGCCCTCCCTCCTCACCATGCTCTCTGAGCATCTGCTGCTAGTGCACAACGTACCATGAGTAATGTCTGGCACAGGTGGGTCATTCCCTCTCCTCCCCTCGCAGTGGGAGACCTGGCTCATCAGAGAAGCCACTTACATTTGAAAAGAACAGCTCCTCAAACCTTGTTGATTCAGCATATCCTGGTGCCTGATTCCAGGGAGAGGAGGCTCCAGATGAATCCCTCCCCTTCCCAGTGGAAGCAAAAGCTGTCCACCCCCAGCACAGACCTCAAGAGAGGTCATACTAGGAATGCTGCCTTTTTATGAAGTCCAAGAACCTCAGGTTGTCCCCAGTTACCACCACCAGCCAGAGTCAAATCTGAGCCCTCTGGAGCTTAGTGCATGAGCCTCTCCTGCTTGAGCTATGAAGCCAGCTGGTTCTCAGCACCCTTATCTCTCACTGTAAGTGGTCCCACACTAGGGCTGTAGGTTACATAGGCACAAGGTGGGGCTGATTGGAGAGGGTTGGCCAGCCCTGGCTTCAACAAAGGAGACCACCTTGTTACACAGTACTTCTTGATACAGTTGGAGGTCTTCAGAAAAGTGCTGCCTTATTTGTTTGTATACGTACTATAGTAGCACCTAGACCTGCTGTCTGAGCCTCACTGGGTGGGCTGTATGTTGTGAGAGTCCCTGCCCCAAACAGCTTACAATCAACACAGACACAGAGGGCATGCCTACACTAGGAAACTATTTCAAAATAACTAAAATTAATGTAATAATTTGTACACCTTCTTGTTTCATTTTGAGAACGTCTCCCCTTAACAGAAATAAACACCCGGCCTCTAAAGCACTAATTACTGCAGGCCTGGACAGGCAGGCTGCTCCCTTATGTGTAGGCTGCTCAGCACCAGAGGCGGTTGTAATCCAAAGTAGAGATTAAATCCCACTGTGGCCGCATTTGAAATGTTCCAAGGGAATCCAAAGTTAAGATTGCAAGCACCGACTTGCAAGCAGCATTTATGCAGTCTGTGTCTACGCTGCAGGCTTCTTGCGCAAAACTGTTTTGCACAAGAGTTCTTGTGCAAAAGGTCTTCCACAAGAGCGTGTCCACACTGCCAGGTGGCTTTGCACAAGAGTGTCCATGGCACTGTGGACGCTCTCTTGTGCAAGAAAGCTCGGATGACCATTTTAGCCCTGATGCCCGTCCACACATGCCTTTTTGCACAAGAGGTCTTGTGCAAAAAGGCTTATTCCTTGTAGAAAGAGGAATAACTCTAGTGCAAAAAGCCCTGTGTTACCATTAACTGTACTTTTTCTTGCACTTGTAGCATGGACGCTCCGCAAGTTTTTGCGTAAAAACTCTGCAGTGTCTACGGAGCCTCCGAGTGCCCGGCTTTCCCCCTGCAAGGCACCCATGCTGGGGAATAAAAATCCCTGCAGCCAGCCTTGCTGGTTCTTGCCTGCAGATGTTGCTCTTTCCCCACTGTGGTTTGTGAGCATCACATGACTGCTTGTCCAGGGCCTGCAAACACGTGATGCTCCCTAGCTGAGAAACCCCAGTGCAGCAGGCAGGGAGTTCCTCATTGTTCTGCAAGCTGCAGCAGGGACACATCTTGCTGCTGTTTCCTTCTCCCCCCAGGATCCAGAATGCCCTTTGTCAGCATCACTAAAGAAATGGCCATGGGGACTGCAGTCCTGGGGCTTGCTTTTGCCACTGGAGTCTTAGCAGGTAAGGGCTACTTTATCCTCTGCTTCCTAAGATCCCAGGCCGCCCTCCCTCTGGCCAAGCACATGAGCTGCCCTGCAACACAGGAAGCAGCAGTCTGGCTCCAAGCGGGGGCGGTTTGCTCCATCCTCCTCCAGTTTGCCACCCCTAGCAAAAAAAGTTTACTTGGTGCTGGGGGAGGGGCAGAGGAGAGAGAGAGATGCTTGGGAAAGTGCTAGCTCCCAGAATATTGACCAAGTGCATCTTTGGGAGAAAATGCTGCAGTGTCCCTTAGAGGCTTTTTTGGCAGAAAAGGACCTGCGCGTGACAGAGAACGAGAAGCTGGAGATGAATCAACAGGGAGCCCTTGTAGCCAAGCAGGCTAAGGGCGTATTAGGTTGCATTAGGAGGAGCATTGCCAGCAGATCTAGGGAAGTGATTATTCCTCTTTATTCGGCGCTGGAGTACTGCGTCCAGTTCTGGGGGACCCTGGTACAGAAAGCATGTGGACGCACTGGATAGGGGAGGGCAACCAAAATGAGAAGGGGGCTGGAGCACATGACCTCCGAGGAGAGGTTGAGGAATTTGGGCTTGTTTAGACTGCAGAAGAGAAGAGTGAGGGGGGATTTGAGAGCAGCCTTCAACTTCCTGAAGGGGGGTTCCAAAGAGGATGGAGAGAGGCTGTTCTCAGTGGGGACAGATGGCGAGATGAGGAGCAATGGTCTCAAGATGCAGTGGGGGAGGTCTAGGTTGGATATTAGGAAAATTCACTTCCCTAGGAGGGTGAGGAAGCTGTGGGATGGGTTCCCTAGGGAGGGGTGGAATCTACATCCCTAGAGGTTTTAAGTCCCGGCTTGACAAAGCTCTGGATTGATTTAGTTGGGGTTGGTCCTGCTTTGGGCAGGGGGCTGGACTCGATAACTCCTGAGATCTCTTCCAGCCTTAAGATTCTATGATTCTAACTTTTTCAAAAGGCCTGGAGAATACCAGTCTCCTTTGCAGCACCAGAAAATGAAGGTCAGGTCAGGTCACAGGCATTTCCCCTTCCTCCTGTGCTCACACACTGGCCAGGTGCATGCTGGCTGGTTTGCTTTCCCAGGTCCGAAACCAGCTCCTGCCTGAGAGCCGAGACCAAATCAAATCTAGGTCCTGTCATGATTAAGATGACATCGTTACAGTACTTCTCTGGGTGTCAGTTTCCCCATCTGTAAAATGGGATTGTAAGGGGATGCAATAAGGCATAGCTGCCCTAGAACAGCCTCTACTGACCAAGCATATCACGCTCTGCCTCCGTCTCCTCAGCGTTTTCTGACTATCTAGGGGGATTCATATATTTCAAGCCTCTGTGGATGCCTTCACCTGTCCTGGGACTCTGCATGGGTGTACATTAGCAGATCTCATTGTAGAATTAGCCCTTACAGGAATCCATGGCAAATCCTGTGCCCACTGGGCAAAATTACATGCTGCATTGCTAACCCCCAGCATTCAAAAACCATGAGATTTGCCTTGCGAATCAGGAGAGGTGTAGAAAAATAAAACTTGGGTTCTGTTTGCTGTCTGGGTTCCGATCCCTTAGGGTTTTGTGTTCACAGGTTTTTTTCTCTACAACCACAAGGGCTATTTAAAAAAAAAATACTAGAACTAGAAGGAACTCCAAGAGGTCAGCAAGTCCAGTACCCTGCACTTGTGACAGGACCAACCATCTAGTTCATCCCTAAGAGGTGTCTGTCTAACCTGCTCTTAACATCGCCAGTGATAGAGATGCCACAACCTCCCTATGCAACTTTTTCCAGTGTTTCACTAAACCCCCCAAAAGGAAGTTTTTCCTAATGTCCAACCTAAACCTCCCTTGCTGCCTCTTTTGTTCTCTCTTGGAGTAGTCTGACTGCAGCTCGGAAAAGACCAAATATTGCAAAACTCACAGGATTGGTAAATCATTTACAACTAGCGCCTATCACCTTAACAGTGTGAGCCAAAGTTCAGGGTCCAAACCAAACTAGTATAGGGAGATCCGGGTCTGAGCTGTAGCTTTGCCGTTTGTATGTCTGCCTGTCCTCCCGAAGCTGACCAGTAAGCAAACGTCTGTCCGGTCATGTTCATTTTTTGGTGAATGGCAAGATCCAAAGATCTTCCATGAGCCCAAGGAATGGAAACAGGCAAACATACAAAGATCTTCCATGAGCCCAAGGAATGGATAATAGGCCAGAATTTGACAGACTGGGACCTTAACAGCAGCTCAGACTGTGTATACTGCACTATACCACTGTACTGCAATAGGCTGGGGAAAAACCACACTTTCCTATAGTTGTGCTCAGGAGTAATAAGCCATGGTCTTAGCCAAACTGCTCAGAGTTGCCCCAACCTTCTCCTCACAGGGCAGCTGCAGACAGACACATGTCCCCCCAAGCCGGCTGGAAATTAGGAGGAGAAAAAGCAGTGACCAGGGTGCTAACAGAGGAGGTGATAAATAACTCCCATCAGCAAGGGCGAGACGGGTAATATAGCCAGGAGAGAGAATAGAATTAGAGCATCCCGGTCCTTTCTCCTGACTTAGCCTCTCTGTGCCTCAGTTTACCTCTCTGTAAACCAGGCAGATTGTTAGAAAAATGCTTTGAGAGCCTTGAACTGAATGTGCAACATAGTATAACGAGGGGTGAGGCTGACTTGCCAATCATTCCAATATCTGTAGCACATTTTGCCAGCTGCTTGATAAGGGAAGAATTGGGTCTCAGGCCTAGAGTAGCTCTGCACTTCAGCAGACACGCACCGTTCTCCCTACCCGCCAGCCTGCAAAAGGGACTGTCCCCTCTGGCTGGTTCTACACTAATAAATCCGGTGAAGTGACTCCTGGGGGGGCAATCAGAATCAAGCCCCTGTTCTAAAGTGAACTTAGAGATGGGTGAGAGACTGGGTCAGACTAAAGGTCCATCTGGCCCAGTATCCCATCTTCCAACAGTGGCCAATGCCAGGTGCCCCAGAGGGAGTGAACAGGACAGGGAATCATCGAGTGATCCCTCTCTTGTCATCCATGTTCAGCCTCTGACAATCAGATGCTAGGGACACCATTCCTACCCATTCAGGCTAATAGCCATTGATGGACCTAACCTCCATGAATTTAACAGGGTACAAAAAAGAACTAGATAAAAGTCCTGGTCTTCGCAACATCCTCTGGCAAGGAGTTCCACAGGTTAACTGTGCACTGCACACAGAAATACTTCCTTTTTTTGTTTGTTTTAAACCTACTCATATTAATTTAATTTGGTGACCCCTAGTTCTTAGGCATGGAGAAAACGAATAAGGAAAAGTTATTTACTTAGTCTCTTTTCTGAGGCGGGGACATGATAGAGGTCTATAATATCATGACTTGTTATGGGAACAAGCTGAACATAATCTCTCTCCATACTGACAGCTCTGGAGGCCTGTATCCTCTGTCACAGGGGTGAGCAAATGCCGGCCCTCAGGTTAGCTGCTGATGGGCCTGCGCCACTATATTACCTGCACAGCTGCAGGTACCAGCGATCACAGCTCCCATTGGCCGTGATCGTCGTTCCCGGGGAATGGGAGCTGCGGGTAGCACTGTCCCAGTCTGCACCGCTTCCCGTCGCTCCCATTGTCTGGGAACAGTGATCCGCTGCCAGCAGGATCTGCGAACCAGAGGCTAACCCTGGTGAGCCGCTGTCGTCTTTTTGCCCACTCCTACTCGACCAGGAGAGGTGATTTCCCGCACTACCACGGGAATGTGTCTCGATGGGACCAACTGGCCAGTCAGAGTCGGACACCTCATAAACTTTGTATCAGCCACTGAATTACATTAACATTCAGTCCAGGCTGGACAGACCCTTTGCAGTCTCCTGAGCTGTCTACGTCTGTAGCCATCTTCTTTTCCTTTGGGTGTAGCAGAGCCAGGCTCCATTCACCTTCCATGGCCGCTTTTTGGCCTGTCTTTACTCAAGCCCTTGCAAACTTTTTCCATCGATGCTCAAAACCTTTTCATATCTCAAACTTTTATAGGTAAAAAATATCCATTTTGGACTTTTGGGTTTCTCAGATCAGGCAAGAACATTTTTGGAAGAGGAAGCCCACTACGGAAGTACATATCGGATCACTCTCTGCGCGAGCATCCCGTCCTAAAGAAGCTGCGACTGGTGAGTGACTTTTCTCAGGCGAAGTGTGGATGTGATACTCTCATTAAGGTCCCGTGATTCAGCCAGTCCGTGGCCAGAAGGCACCATTGTGATCACCTTGTCTGACCTGTATAACACAGGATGTAACTCCTCTTCCCCCCTGAATTCCCGGACTGGCGCTTTGAGACAAACATCCCATCTTCCCGCAGCTCCTCTTGTCTGCAAAGGACAAAATGGAACCAGTGGGAGTCCCAAGGCTCCGTGGCCACGACACCAGTAAATAAACAAACCGGGATGGCCAGTTAATGATTCTGTGGAACACTTTCAGAAACACTGGTCTAGGGCCAGCCCACAATATTTTGGCACCTGAGGTAGGGAGCTCAAATGACGCCCCATACCCCCTCGCTTGGGCCAAAACTATGAAAGGTCCCTTGTGCCCTCCTTCCTCCAGCACAGCACTCCACCACGTCTGTGCATCTAGAGCAGAGAGAATACATACGCGTTAGCAGCAGACACAGTTTTCTACACTCTGGGTTCTAGGGCCCCCCCCCCACGCGCACACACAGTCTGGCACCTGAGGCGGCTGCCTCGATTTGCCTCATCGTAGGGCTGGCCCTAGTGCTTGGTCCTGCCATGGATGCACAGGGTTGGACTTGATGACCTCTTGAGGTTCCTTCCAGTTCTAGGATTCTACAGGTTTCACTTCTCTAGTCCAGCCCCCTCAGGACCTGACTGGTGCCAAACCAAAGAATTTGCCAGACCATGGGAGGTCAATATTGTCTAGCAGCGTTACCGACACTTCCACTGCTCATTGGGCTCTTTAGAAAACAGTTAGGGGTAAATTAGAGCTAAAGAACAGCCCAGAACACTGAGAGCCAGGACTGGTGGCTGTAAACAAACTTTATGGGACTGCAAGAAACTTGGCCACATCCCGCTAACTGAAATCATGCCGGGCCATGGACAGTGCCGGACTAGAGAGGTTCAACAGGTCCCTTTCTCTACTAGAGTGAAAAATCGTTATTAGATATTTGTTCCCTAGGTAGGTATTTACAGACTGTAAACAAGTCACTCCTTAGCCGATCTGTGAGAGGGTAAACAGATTGATACCACTACAAATCTGCATACGGGTAGAGAGAGAAAAGGCAGTTCTGCAGAGACTAACACCAGACAGAGCCAATATTAAAATGCCTTTGTAGTGCTAGACTCAAGGACTTTAGAGTCCCAGAGCTGAAAAGCTATTTAAGTACCTAATTCCCACTACTGAAATGAGTTGTTCCATGGCATCCAAAACTCCAGTGGCAGAACCTAGCTCTCCTGAGTCCCAAGACAGTACCATATCCACTGGGCCAAGCTACCCTCTCCATGGTCATTGACTTGCTCTCTCTATAAAACAACTGTGGTGCTTTTAAGGCCAGAAAGAACCCTTGTGAATGATCTGGAAAGCCACAGAATTCCAGCCAGCGATTCTTGCACCAAGCCCGTAACTTTTGGTTAAGCTGGAACATGACTTGTAGGAAGACCGCAGTCTTCATGCTGAGGCATCAGGTGACAGAGAATAGCTCCTGTGGCTACTTACTCTCACAGTTAAGTCTGCCCACGCCCATGGTAGCTGCTTACACATGGATCTTTGATAAATGATCAGAAGTTGCTTCTCTGAGGTAAACAGCTGGCATTGGGCGCTTGGTGTCTCTCTGCAACTTGACGGGAGTATTTTTTCTTTTCCTGTTTCCTTTCAATGTTGTCCCGTTGCCTTTTCTAGCTCACCTTGAACCACCGCTGCGGTGGAATGATGGTGTCCTGCGACCAGGCTCAGCTTATGGCAAACTTGGCCAAGCTCATCAAAGCCAAGAAGGCTATTGAAATAGGTAAGACTGCGCCTTTCCTAGGGCCCAGCCTAACACTGCGTGTTTGGAAGCTGCGTCCGTGTAGCTCCTTGCTTCACCCAGCCTAGCCAAGTGCACCCAGGGTGACAGGAGGTGGCCGGAGCGGGACTCTTCAGTTACCTTCCTGCCTGGAGCATGTCACATTTTCTAAAGAGGCCGGTGATACCGAGTGCTCAAGTTGAAACACCTCCTGATTCTCAGAGGTGCTTCATGTCCCCAGTCCCCGCTGATACCAGTGGCAGTGGCGAGTGCTCTGCCCTTCTGGCAGCCAGGCCTCGGGGGTCATCGCTTGCCTCTCTTGAGAGTGTTGGCTTTGACTTCCCTACCTCAGTTTCCTCATCTGAACAATGGGGAGAATGCCATCCTCTCTGGAGCATGGTGAAGCCTGATTTGGAGCCGGTGGTATAGCTGTGTGTGTGGCTTAGGTCAGAAGCACCGTGGGACTAACGCAGAAGAAGAGAGCAAAGCCCAAAGGAAAGGGCTTGGCTTGAGTGGGTCTAAGGCAGGGGAGGGCCTGCCTGCCTGCCTGCCCTGTCTCCACACACCCACACCCCTCTTCCAGGTCACAACCCCCTCTGAGACCGTGCACCCCCTCCCTACACCCCTCCTCCAGGTCACAACTCCCTCCCAGGCCTTGCACCCCAATCTCTTACAACTCAGATCCCTTCACCCTGCACTCCTCCCTCAGGTCACGACCCCACCCAGACCCTGCACTCCCCCCTATACTCCAGTCCCTTACCCCAAGTTCCCTTCTGCACCCAGGCTCCATCACAGATCCACACTCCCCATTAAAAGCATGGAAGAGTGCAGCCCTCAACCACTTACCAAAATCTTGGAGCAACTCCCCCCGCCCCAACAAAAATGACTGCTCGTCCCTGCTCTAAGGGAATGTTTTCCAGGGAACCCTCTGCACCAGGCAGCTATCACAGGTGGAGAATGACAAGATGTAGCCGAGGTGCTGGCCATGTCCTTCCCCCCTTCCTCCCCTCACTTCCCTTAGCGACACGCTAAAGTCACATGGGTGCCAGACAGGAAGGCGCTCCCAGTCCAGGAGACCCTAGACAGAAGTAAGCTGTGAAGAAGCTAGAGGACAAACAGGGATTCACAGCCACTATTTCAATGGACTTCAATGGCTACACAGTATTACCATGGTAATGGGGAGAGAATAGGGTTAATTCGTTACTGGAGCTCTTCTGAAGAGTCTACTTTCACCACCTCAACAACCAAACACCATAAAACAAGCATCCTTCTTGTCATTCATGGTGGAATGAATCTTCCTTCTCTCTCCTCTTTTCTAGGTGTTTTTACCGGCTATAATACCTTAAATATGGCATTGATCTTGCCGGATGATGGCAAAGTCGTTGCCTGCGATATAAATGAAGATTTTGCCAATATTGGAAAGCCGCTGTGGAAAGAGGTAGCTAGTCTCTGCCCATCCATAAATGCTGCATGACTTGGATAGGGGTGGCCAGAACTGTGTGCGTGTGTTCTAGGGGGACTTAACTCTGCTCCCCTCTGAAGTTCAGGGCATGTCTTTGCTACCGGCTGGATCCACTGGCAGAGATTGAGCCAACAGGGATCGATTTATCATGTCTAATATAGACACGATCAATCAACTGCCAAATGCTCTCCCATTGACTCTGGTACTCCACCAAAACGAGAAGAGTAAGCAAAGTCGATGGGAGAGTGTCAATTGTTGATTTACTGCTGTGAAGATACTGCAGTAGGTAGCCAAGTAGGTCAGCTTCAGCTACATTATTCACTGAGGTCGATGGTCCGTGGTAGTATAGACAAGGCCTCAGATTGTATGTGCAACAGGTGAAAGAATCAGGTAGTTAGAGGGTTTCCTAACTTAACAGCCCATGTTTACCAAGTTGCCTCAACGTTAGCCTATAGGGGTATGTCTAGACCAGCGTTTCCCAAACTATGGGCCGCAGCCCATTACTGGGCCACGGGAAAAAATACCGGGCCTTGGCGTGGCTGCCAGGAGGGGAGCAGAGTGGGGCAGGCTGGGAGGAGGTGTGTGTTGGGGGGTGGGACTGGCTGCCCGGAAGCAGGGTTGGGGGCAATAGGGCTGTCCCGCAGAAAGGGAGGGTGGGAAGCAGAGCTGGCCTGGGGGAGTGCAGCGGCGCTGGCCCCGGGGAGATCAGGAAGAGGAACAGGCCAGCGGGAAGCAGAGCTGGGAGGCGGTGCGGGGAGGCTGGCCAGGGGAGATCAGGAGGAGGAGGACAGGAGAACCAGCTGCCAGAAGCAGGGCTAGAAGGGGGCAGCAGGGCTGGTCGGGGTAGGGTCATCGGGGGAGTGGGGCTGACCAGGGGAGATTGGTGGAGAGCGGGGGGAACCAGCCGCCCCGAAGCAGGGCTCGACCCGCCGGAAGCAGAGCTGGACAGGGGCAGCCAGCAGGGCTGGACTGGGGAAATCAGGAGGAGAAGGGGGGGGAGCGGGACTGACCCGGGCACATGCAGACCCTGGCAGATGAGTGAGTCCAGCCGGGGATTCCATTTCCCGCCCCACACACACCACCACATACCCTCCCTGGAGTAGTTGCGAACTGCCTGGCAGGTAGACACACTCGGGCAGCATGAGCACATCTACCAGCCAGGCAGTTCCCAGCTAAGGACTGATACACCTAATTATAATAAAACGTACCTGATTAGAAAATACCAGACATTTTATAGGTCTGGTAATTTCTCAATTTGTTTCCTGGACAAAACCCTGAAATACCAGACTGTCGGGTACAAAACCGGACACCTGGCAACCCTACCCCTCCTTGCACCCTCCCTCCTAGCCAGATACCCTACCCCCAGTCTGGTCCTGATCCCGCCTCCTGGAGTGCCCATGCGACGCCAGGTCCTCCAAGCCCTGGCCCAGGCTGGGCGGAGGATGCAGCCGGGTGAAACACTGAAAATTTATTCATTTTTCATTCTTTTTTTATATGTGTTTGTATTTTTGGGCTGCAAAAAACAGTACTGGAAAAAAACCGGGTTCCAACTAAAGTAAAAAGTTTGGGAAACTCTGATCTAGCCAGCTTTCAATCCATCTTACAGTCCATTTATCCAAGCCATATTCCCTTAACTTGCTGGCAAGAATATTGTGGGTGACTGTATCCAAAGCTTTGCTAAAGCTGACTCTGGGGGCTTTGGGAGGACCAGAAACAACTTATTTGAATATTCATCATTTGCTTACTTAATTTGCAAATATGCAAATGAATGTCACCGGTCCTCCAAAAGCTCGTGAATGGATTTACTGGTCCCCGTGTCAAAAAGTTTGGGAACCCCTGGTCTAGACTACAGACTTTTGTCGACAGAGGCTTTGTTGACTGATACTGTCGACAAAGCTTTCGACAAAGAGCGTCTAGACTACAGCCAGTTCTGTCAACAAAGCAAGCCGCTTTTTCAACAGAGCGTCTCAGAGCTCTCTTTTGAATCAGCGCAATGTGGCTGCCATAGCGCCTTTTGTCTACAGAACTCTGCAGAATGAGGTTTACTGCCATCGACAAAACTGCCGCGTTCTGTCAACTTGCTTTCGACAGAACTCGGCGGTAGCGTAGACGCAAGTATAATTTTGTCGACAAAACCCTGTAGTCTAGACACACCCGAAGTGATGCTCATGTTCTGTGGCACTTGGATTTGGGTGGCTAGTGGACTAAATGTTTTATGAATTCTGGAAATAACAGGAAGACTAGGAAAGGGATTCCCCTCGTTTTATTTGGGGGAGGCTTTTCTGAGTGCATCCCACAATAAGATATTCCACGAATACTTCCATCAAAGGCCTTTCCTCTTTCGTTTCAGGCAGGAGTGGAGCATAAAATAGACTTGCGGATTAAACCAGCAACTCAGACACTTGGTAGGTAACATAAATAGGGGAATTAGAGGCTGAAGATCTAGGCTGGGGCAGAGTCCCTCCTGTGACGTCCAAGCTTAGGAGTTACTAGCAAAAGTGAACGTGCAGTTTCATCACTCGGTGGGGGAGGGAGGCTTCTCTCTTTTCCTAAATTTCCCTTATGAGGTCAGCTGTTTCCATATACTGAGAAGGGGGATAATTTCATCCACCGTCCATTATTACATTGGTCACTTAAAGCAATGGGCTGGGTGAGGAGGTAATACGAAATGAGGTATTGTCTTGCTGCTTCTAGCACAGGGAAAGCTGCTGAAGACGGATTTAAATTGGACAAAGCCCAATTTCTCCCCCATGCAGTGTCCATTCTAAGCAATTATCTGTTTATTCCAGGCAAGCAAAGTCTTCTCCGAGGAGCAAAAGTTGCAGAGGGAGTCGAGAAGCTAGTGTGCAGACATCAGAGGCAGGCAACTTCCGGGCTGGGGAAATGCAGGGTGACTTTCGAGGGCGGGAGGAAGGAAAGCCTTCCGGGAGCATGGAAAAGGCAGATGCAGAACAAGTTTGCCTGTTAGGAAGCGCAGTCTAAGGAGGGAAAGTTGCTGTCTGAACGGCTGTTTGTTCGCATTGCTAATGCCCGTGACCTTTCCGCCAGCTGCTGCTGCTTCTGTGCCCGCTTCTCTGCTTTTCAGAAGTGTCTTTAGGAGAAAGAACTGGCCAGTGTCACGCTGGAGTATCCACGGGGCAGTGTCGTCTTCGCATGATTGACGCTTACTGGCAGCCAGCCTCCTCTGGGCTAAGGGTGTGAACGTTTAATCGGTTAAATGGTTAACCACTAAGCATCAGCTTATCGTTTTCCGTTACATGCTGGCTCCCCAGGAGCTGGCTGTCACTCCATGCTGAGGGCTCCATCATAGAAAGCTTTTTCAATAGATACTAAGGGGCTGCGCCCCCTCCTCACTACACTCACCAATCCCCCTTTCTCTGGGGGTAGGCAGCCATGGCTCTCTCTCCCCGGCTGCTGGGAGGGCCGGGCCAAGGCATGTGTCTGTCCCCTCCCCCTGGCTGCTGGACCAAGGTTCTCTCCCCCAGCAACCGAGCACCAGTGGGAAGGAGGGAGGTGGCAGATCAGGACGCAGAGTGACATGATGACATCATTTAACAGTTACGTTTTTAAATGACTTTTGACAGCCCTAGTCTGGGCCAGGTTCTGCCCTTCAGTGTCCTCGGGCAAACTCTCCGCTATAAACAGGGTTGGCCGCCGACTTTAAGCCCCTGCAGAAACAGCCTCTCTCAGGCGTTCTGCAAGCCAAACGGATGCAGAGCAATTTGAGAGGGGCACATAACTTGCATGAGCCCCCTTACTCCTTCATAAACAGACGACTCAGCACCCTGCCTGTTTCCCCTCTCGTCTCTACTGCCCAAATGGGGCCCCAAAACACACACACTCATGGAGTCGATATTACCTCAGCGGACAGTTCCGATTTGGAGCTGTCAGCCGGAGGGCGGTGCGAGGCGGTTTTAACAGAGCCCAGTTCCCCACGTTTTGCGAGAAGAGAGATTCCTGAGAAAATGCCCAGTGGGTAATCACCATTTGCTGCCCCCTGTGATTATCCAAAGGCTAAGCCTGCTCAGGCAAAATCCACCAAAGGCTGCCTGGGTAAGGATTCAGCATGGCCCAAGATGCAGCATGTTGACGAGCAGCTGACTGAGTGATTGATCTGAAAACTCACTTAACCTCTAGGGCTATGTCTACACTACAAGGTTTTTGCGCAAAAACGGGTGGAGCGTCCACACATCAAGCGTGTTTTTGTGCAGAAAAAAAAATACAGTAAATCGACAGGACAGAGGGCATTTGCCGGTAGTTATTCCTCTCCCCATGAGCTACAGCTCTTGGGCAAAAAGTGGATGTATGGAAGCTCCGCAGGTGTTTCTTGCGCAAAAAGAGCCTATCAGAAAAAGCACAGGTGCTGTGATGGCCATTCTGTGAATGGCTATCAGAGTTTTCTTGCGCAAGAGTGTCCATGCAGTGTGGACGCGCTCTTGCACAAAAGCACATCGCTTTTGCGATGCGCTTTTGAGGTGTGGACGCATTTTTGTGCAAGACGTTTTTGCGGAAGATCTTGTCCGCAAAAAGCTTCTTGTGCAAAAACCCTGTAGTGTAGACAAAGCCTCTGGCTTTTCTACAGGGGGGAAATCTCTAACCTTCCTTTACACTGGGTTTACACTGCTTATCACATTTGTTTTAGCTGAAGTGGTTTAAAGGACTCTTAGGGTGCATCTACACTGCACCCATAGCTCAAAATAAGCTATGCGATTTCAGCTACGCAAACTGTGTGGCTTATTTCGAGTCCATTTCGAAATAGCTTATTTTGTCATTTGGCACTGTCTACACAGCGCCAAATTTCAAAATAACCTGCTATTCCAAAACATCCCTTACTCCTTGTGGGACGAGGTTTACAGGGACGTCAGAATAGCGAGCACGTTATATTTCAAAATAACAAACACACGGTTAAGAAGCAGGATAGCTGTTTCAGGATATCCCGAAATAGCTCTGCAATGTAGACGGAGCCTGACTGGATCAGATTTAGGAGTATGATATCTACAGTCTACACCATGACTCTTAAAACTGTATCGTAAGCTCTTCCAGACAGACCCTAGTAGCCTCTGAACTGTGACACATGGATTCTCTCATCCCTTTATTCACTGGTAAGCCACTTAAACCTGCTTTGTTTCCTGTCTAGATGAACTGCTGGCAGCTGGTGAAGCTGAGACCTATGACTTTGCTTTCATAGATGCAGATAAAGAGAGTTATGACGATTACTATGAAAAATGTTTACGTCTCATAAGGAAAGGGGGAATCATAGCTATTGACAATGTAAGTATTCAAGTGGGGTGGCCTCGTGAGGTAGTTCTAATAGCAATCTTACTTCTGACCCAGGGGTCCTATCTAATGTGACTTTTTAAAGAGGTAATATAGAAAAGGCGTTTGGGACATAACTTGAAAATTGAATGCTGTGACTCAAAAAAACGGTTGTTCTAGTTACTTATTAATGACACACAAAGCTAATGTGTGAAGCAAGTAAAAGGAACTTGAATTAACCTGTGTATGTGGACACTTGGACGTTTACTCTGTCCACACACACCCACACCCATCTTGTCAAGCTATTCATGCACTACACAAAGACTATTTAATGGGATATTGATATTTAACGTATATATATTGATATAGTGCATCTTCTACAATCGTAACCTGTTGATAAATAAAGCTTTAGGTATTATGACCATGTTACTAGTGACTTCCAAATACTTTAGATAAGCTATTGAACTGTATTACCCGAAAAGAGAAAGGATCAGAGTTACTTGGTTTTGGAATGTCTGGACAGTTTCATCTGTCTACTTATTTCTGTCATGGTTAACTCAATTTATAAGGCTGCTCTGAGGCTTAGTATCTGCAAAGAACTCTGAGCTATGCAGTGTTTCTAGAACCTTCTTCCCAAGCCTATAAAAGTAGGTGGGTATAGTTGTCCCCAATAAATAGATGTGAAAACTGAGAGGGAGGCCTGAATTAAGCAAAGCATTTACACGTGAGCTGGAGTTTGTGCCTACTCGACCTATCATTCAAATTTATGGTCCATTAAAGCTAATGAGGGCCAAGCACATGCTTAAAGTTAAGCGTGTGCTGAAGTGATAGGCTGAATAGGGATGGGCGGCTGAAACAGGAAAAGTAAAGTGACTTGGCAAAGGTCACAAAGTCGGGGAATAGAGCAGGAGCAGGCAATAGAAAAGTAGCGGTTTGCCAGGGTTAACTCTGGTGGACTGCCGCTATATTTACCTGCCTCTCTGGCCAATGGAAGCGGCACAGACCGGGATACCCTCCCATAGATCCCATTGGCTGAGAACAGCAAACTGCAGCCAACGGAAGCTGGGGTCGCTAGTACCCGCGGAGGTGCAGGTAAATCTAGCGATGGCGGTCCGCCAGGGACTAGCCATGGCAGACCAGATCCAGCTCGTGGGCTTGGAATAGACCCCAGGCTCCCAGTCCCACTGAAGTGTGTTGCCCGTGAGCGGTACATTATTAGGATAAAGGCAAAATATCATAACGTTCTTCAACCAAACTCCAACTGCTTTGTGATTGGACACTGTGATAATCACACTTGTCTGCACTGCCTCAGCTGATGCCAGCTGCACCTCCTAGTGGAGAGACAGTGTACAGCCACAGGATTCCTGCCCGCATGGCTGTTCCACCTTCCTAAGCCCACCGAAGGAATTTTCTGTTCGCATGGTGATGTCTATGCTGGGAGTTTTGCCAAGCTGGCTATATTGACCTGGGGGGAGTTGCTTTTCCCCTGACCGCTCTCCTAGCCAACATAGCTATGCCAGCCACACTTGGTGGTGTACACCAGGCCTCACAAAAGGTAGTTCAAGGGGCTGTCCACACACGCTCGTGGAAGGCTGGATGGACAAACTTACATGCGTTTAAACAAGGCATGTATTGGTTTAGCTCCAGTCTTTTTGGAATGGGTTTACAAGTAGTGGAAACATCCGGATTAAACTGCAGTGTGTCCACACCACCTTTTGCATTGGTTTAGCTTAATTAGTTTTTGTTTTTTTTAAAGTCACACTGTTAGTTGAACAGTTACAACTCCGCCTGTAGAGAAGCCCTCAGGCTTGTACACTGTGGCTATGGCTACACTACGAATTTTCTCGAAAAAAATATACTAATGAGGGACTCATTTGCATGAGTCGCGCTCTCGTTTGCATATTTTCTGCTGATCCATTTTTGCGCCGAAACAAGCAGTGTGGATGTTTTCTTTTTGTGCAGAAAACCCTTTTTCCGCAAGATCGGTAAACCTCTTTTTTTGGGGCATAAGGATCTTGCGGGAAAAGGGGTTTTTGTGCCAAAAGAAAATGTCCACACCGCTTGTTTTTTCCCAAAAAACCCAGTGCAAAAACAGATTGGCAGAAAATATGCAAATGAGATCGCGACTCATGCAAAATGAGTCCCTCATTTTTTGCCTAGAAAATTTGTAGTGTAGACATAGTCCGTGATGAGAGAGTTCTCATTTGACCCTACGTCTCCCTTTGGGCGATCAGTACCGTCAACAGCCTGGTCGGATGTAGAGGGCACCTTCCACGAGAGGCTGACGGGCTGCTTGTGATTCTTTTTTACACTAGGTGTTATGGCACGGGAAAGTATTGAAGCCGAGCAAGAACGACATACAAGCCCAAAGCGTCCACCGCCTCAATGAGAAGCTCTTCCGGGATGCGCGCATCAGTATCAGCATGCTCCCCATGGGGGACGGCGTGACCCTCGCATTCAAGCTGTAGTGAGAGAAAGGTGCTGAGCAATGGATCGGGGACAAAGAACCCCCAAATCATCAAGCAAAACTAAGGAGGGACTAAAGCAGCATCTGTAATGTGAGCCTGTGTGTCGGCAGGATAACCTACCATTGGGAAACAGCCTTGGAAAGGACCAAAAAACCTACAGGAGGCTGGGTTTAAGTGCATCTTCCCCTGCCTTTTCATTGTTTTTTGTATTGGCTTAGCGCTCTAGACAATGCCCCTTTCCATCCCAGCCTCTCCGCGACGCACTGTCCTGGGTCCCCAAGATCACAATGCGGGTAGGTAACAGGGGAGCTAAACCGGAGCTATGTCTAGACTGCAGGCTTCTTTCGGAAGACGCTTTTCCGGATGAGATCTTCTTCTGAAAGAGAGTGTCCACACTGCCAAATCGCATTGAAAAAACGATCTGCTTTTTCAACAAATAGCGTCCATCTCACATGTAAGCTGTGATTGCTATGGCTGGAATGGCCACCACGGCACCTGTGCGTTTTCCTCTTCCCTCTTCTTGCAAAAGAACTCCCTCTTCCCGTCCACACGTGCCTTTTTCCGAAAGAGCTCTTTCACCAAAAGGCTTCTTCCTCAGAGGTTTACCAATGTCGGGAAACCCCCTCTGTTCTTTTGATTCTTTTTTTCCCCCCCGAAAGAACACAATTGCAATGTGGACGTAATTGAAGTTTTTTTGGAAAAAACACCATTTTTCCGAATAATTCTGAAGGTCTTGGTTTTCCTCTGGGTATGTCTACACTACAAATAGACCATTTCTGGGAGGAAAGCCATCCCTACGGCGAAGGAACTAGACTGGGACGCTGCAGATCTAGGTTCAGTTACTGGTACATGACAAAAGCTGTTTCCTTCTGGTTGTTTCACGCCGTTGCATACAAATCTGTGAAAAATTTTCTGTGGCAAAAACTCATTTTGGATAATCAGCCATTTTTAAAAAATAGCAATTTCAAGTGATTTTTTTTTCCCACTCGCTCTCCTTTTCAGCAGTCTCCGTGGGTTCTCTTTGTAACGTAGGAACTGCCTTGTTTCACAGGACAGCCCCTTCCGTAGACACTCATTTTGCTCCGAGAGGGTCTATGGAGGAAGTAAAATACGTAGCTGGAGTCAGCTTACCTTAAGCAGCGCTTTATGGCGTCCCCACAGTGGGTGGTTGATGGGATACCCATGGAGTTCGATTTAGCGAGTCTTAACTAGACCCACTAAATCAAGCTCCGGAAGATCGATTGTGGCAGTGGAAATCTTCCTTTTCGTGTAGACAAGGCCTACCTCTGCACGCACCAAGCCAGCGTGTTGCTTCTGCTCTGGCCGCTGCTCCATTTTAAATATGCAGAGCATCACACACACGTTTAATCAAGCCTGTCTCCATCCTGATCACATAATTACCATTAGAAAGAACAGCAGCGTGTCCCTGAGCGATAGATTGATGAGCCATCTGTAAACTGCAACAAAGAGCAGAAGGAAGCTTAATTGAATCAAATATTTAGAATACATTACGCTCTGTCTTCCAGTTATTTAGAGCCACGGCCTCCCCTCACACTTCTGTCCTGTGTGTCTGGAATTCATCACCGTTAACTGCATTTAATCCTGCAACCTTGCAATAACGTGACTGCTGATCACATATAATGATGGTTTAATTTGAGAAGCAAATCGGCTTTTGGGAATTTGAGGGGGGCAGTCGGGATTTACGTTTTGATTTGGAGATAAAAAGCTTGGTTCTTTTGTCTCCCATCCATGGGAGCAGAAACTCAGGAGCCAAAACCATGCCTGACCTAACGGATCGGGGTTGTTACCCTCCACGCTATGTCCCCCGGGAGCAGAGAGCCTCGGTCTTCACCCAGTGCCACCGAGAGATTCTGTCTCTCCTCCAGGGCCTGCTGGGCGCCTCCCGTTCTCAGGACGTGTTTCAAAGCGAGCAGAGAGATTCTGTCTCTCCTCGAGGGCCTGCTGGGTGCCTCCCGTTCTCAGGACGTGTTTCAAAGCGAGTCACACGCCTGCCCTGAGACGGATGTCGCTGAACCAACTGCAGCACACAGGACTGAGTCGACCGCTGCCTCGCTGAGTGAGAATTTGCTCTTAGGGCGGAAAGCTTAGAAGCGAAACGGTTCTCATTTGCGCATGCCTGTTAGGTTTCTGGCTTCTCTTTATTTAATAAAGCCCCTCGGGTCCTTGGCCCATCTGATGGCTGCAGATGTTCAGTACATGACGTTCTGCTCCGTTGTCTTGGGGCTGCAGCTCAGAGAAGCTGACTGAGTGTTCGCAGTTTCATGCGGGGCTCTGGCGTGATCAGCTTTCCCAGGGTGCTGTTTACTAGCAGCCCACGGCTGGGTCCCTAGCCAGCAGGCCCCCTCCAGGATGGGTTGAGAGGAGACAGACGGGGAGTTAAGTCTTTGCTGCTAGGCTAGAAGGCGCATGGCTGCTGGTCGCGGTATCCATAGGAACAAGGGAATGATCCGGGTCAATCTAACCTGCTTGGCGATTTGACACGCAGACCAGAGTGCACTGCTAGCTGGGGATACCGCTTGTACCCGCGCCATTGCTGGAAAGCAATCCAGGCCTCAGCCGGCTGCAACAGCCATTAGTAGTCAGTGGTGTATCCTTTCCTAATCTAGACAAACCCTGTAAGGTTCTCTTGTAATACCCAAGACTCCTGTTTGCTTCCAACAGCAAGGATCCAACCCAGCCCCCTGTGGCTCAGATCTTGTGGAACAGAACCTGAGGAACGTAGGGTCAGATCCAAGAGCCAGGGAAGCCAACTCATATGTTGGATTTCACTGTCCGTCACGCTGAGGAACCCTCCACCCCTCCCAAACTCAGGACCAGAGTTTCCTGCAAGCTGAGGGCTTGAGCGACCACAGGTGCCACCCAGTTGATTAGCAGAGCTCCCCCCGCCCCACCACCCAGTGGCCACAGCCAGCAGCATGTGAATTACTGGTGGTGCACACCTGCATATGCCTTGATCAAATAAAATTTAATCTGCACATGGATGGAAAATATTAGAAGACATATCACTCAGGACTCCAGACGCTGGCCCCCAAAATAAATACGTCTCCCTTGCACGCTTTTTGCCTCAACACTGTGACCTTGAATGCTGCTGTGCAAGCGATGCTGAAATTTGTACCAGATCACACACTTCTCAGCAGGTTAAATGCAGGAGGTAGCATAAAATGGTATCTGTTGCATTTTCACATAGAACACTTGCGAAATGCAGCCACCTCTGGGGTGGAACATAGCAGGCTGGGAACACCTGTGCACAACAAGACTCAGATTTCCACTGCTGTAGTGGGAATCAGCTTAACAGCTTCTGTGTTTACTGTGGCAGGGATGCGCTTTCTTGTATGTCGGTCATGGCATAGTAGCTTACTTGTGTTCTATGTACTGTACTTCACATTCTTTGTGATTTGGTTCAGGATGAACGTTACCCTAAAAAATACAAAGGCTATGTCTACACTGGTGGCTTGCACAAGAACAATTTTTTAGGGTAACTTTCATCCTGAACCAAATCACAAAGGCTATGTCTACACTGGTGGCTTGCACAAGAACACGTCCACACTGCTATGTGTGGGATGTGCTTTTGTGCCTATGGCAGTGTGGACTCTCTTTTGTGCAAGAAAGCTCCGATGGCCATTGTAGCTATATGGCTTTCTTGCGCAAGAAACCCCTGCCGAGTGTCTGTACTGCCCTCTTGCGCAAGAACGCCTGCACAAGAGGGCTTACACCTGTTCAAAAAGAGTGTAGCTCTTGCGCAAGAAGGCCTCTCTTACCACGCCATACTGTAAAACTTCCTGCGCCAGAGGAGGGGGGCAGTGTGGATTCTTTTCGGAACTGCCGTTTTTGCGCAATAACCCACCAGCTAAAGTGTATAACTCCAATTTCACACAACTTGCAGTTATCTGTGCATGCTCACTCACCTGTTTGTTCATTTTCTTTTTCAAACACATGGGAACAAAGTGGCAGCTTTGAATGTATTATGATAAAACATAAAACATGTAAATGACAGAAATTAATGTATGATTTCAAGCAAGTTATCTCCCCTCTTCCCTCAGCACAATACTGGGCGGGAAAGCACATAACTAGCTGAGTTAATATTTATTCCTATTCGATGAAAAGTAAACATTGCTGATAAGTCACTGCCTTCCAGGCTAAGATTTCATATTTTAGACGGCTTTACATTAATGCAGAAGCAAACATTCTCTCTCTCTCATTCATCTAGTTCCCTAATGAGTGCCGAGCAAATTGTGCCTACTTATATTTTATGATTTTAAATAATTAAAACATTTTATGAAAACAACTAAAATTCTCCCCGCATTTGTAGCACGATTATTGATTGAGCGGGCCCCAATTTATATGAAAAAGCTTTTTTTTTTTTTTTTAGTTTCGAGCCGCACAATGTTATTTCTACTTACCTACTAAAACCAAAGCGATTCAGTGCTTTTCTGGCCCGTTCCCCTGAGTTATTATGCTGGGTAGGGGTTTTCTGACCATTGGAAATGTCCGACTTTTTTTAACATGGCGACATTCGATTTGCAGAACACAGTTAATCTGTCTGTGTTACCGGTAAATGGGTCTGTTGAAGTGACGCATGTACAGGCTGAACTTCTGAAACTGGGGTACCACACATGATGCTGGCCCAGAGAGCCCCAGTAGCCAGCTGTTGGGGGCCTGCTGGGAGTCCAGTGGCTGGGGAAGGGTGGGGCAGCAGTGGGGGGGG